ATGGACTGGTTGGATCTCCTTGCAGTCCAAGGGCCTCTCAAGAGTCTTCTCCAACAACACAGTTCAAAAGCATCAATTCTTCGGCACTCAGCTTTGTTTATAGTCCAACTCTCACATCCACACATGACTACTGGAAAAACCATAGCCTTGACTAGACAAAACTTTGTTGACAAAGTAATGTCTCTGCTTTTTAATATGCTGTCCAGGTTGGTCATAACTTTTCTTCCAAGCAGTAAGCGTCTTTTAATTTCATGGCTGCAGTCACCATCTGCAGTGATTTTGGAGCCCAAAATAATAAAGTCAGTCACTGTTTACACCATTTTCCCATCTATTTGCCATGAAGTGATGGGACCGGATGCCATGATCTTAGTTTTCTGAATGTTGAGCTTTAAGCCGAGTTTTTCACTCTCCTTTTCACTTTCATCAAGAGGCTCTTTAGTTCTTCTTCGCTTTCTGCCATAGGGGTGGTGTCATCTGCATATCTGGGGTTACTGATCTTTCTCCCAGCAATCTTGTACTTCTTCCAGCCCAGTGTTTCCCGTGATGTACTCTGCATATAAATTAAATAAGCAGGGTGACAATATACAGCCTTGACGTACTCCTTTTCCTATTTGGAACCAGTCTGTTGTTCCATGTTCAGTTCTAACTGTTGCTTCCTGACCAGCATACAGATTTCTCCAAGGCAGGTCAGGTGGTCTGGTATTCCCATCTCTTTCAGAACTTTTCCACAATTTATTGTGATCCACACAGTCAAAGGCTTTGGCATAGTCATTAAAGCAGAAATAGATGCTTTTATGGAACTCTTGCTTTTTCGATGATCCAGCGGATGTTGGCAATCTGATCTCTGGTTCCTCTGCCTTTTTTAAAGCCAGCTTGAACATCTGGAAGTTCACGGTTCACGTATTGCTGAAGCTTGATTTGGAGAATTTTGACCATTACTTTACCAGCGTGTGAGATGAGTGCAATTGTGCGGCAGTTTGAGCATTCTTTGGCATTGCCTTTCTTCGGGATTGGAATGAAAATTGACCTTTTCCAGTCCTGTGGCAAATGTTGAGTTTTCCAAATTTGCTGGCATATTGAGTGCAGCACTTTCACAGCATCATCTTTTAGGATTTGAAATAGCTCAACTGGAATTCCATCACCTCCACTAGCTTTGTTCATAGTGATGCTTCTTAAGGCCCACTTGACTTCACATTCCAGGATGTCTGGCTCTAGGTGAGTGATCACACCATCATGATTATCTGGGTTGTGAAGATCTTTTTTGTACAGTTCTTCTGTGTATTCTTGCCACCTCTTCTTAATATCTTCTGCTAGAGGTGATGGCTTAATTTTAACTGTGCCTGCACCACTTGGTGGAATTCCCCTTTGGTAGAGCTCATCCGGTCCCTTCAAGATGTGCTGACCACAATCCGTACCTCAGCCCCTTCCTGTTAGGGGGCTGAGGCCATTTAAAGCTGGCTTAAAACTCAACATTCAAAAAACTAAGATCATGGCATCTGGTCCCATTACTTCATGGCAAATAGCTGGGGAAACAAATGAAAACAGTGACAGACTTTATTTTCTTGGGCTCCCAAATCACTGCAGATGGTGACTGCAGCCATGAAATAGAAAATGCTTGCTCCTTGAAAGAAAAGCTATGTCCAACCTAGACAGCATATTAAAAAGCAGGGACATTACTTTGCCAACAAAGGTCCGTCTAGTCTAAAGTTCCTCTATGGTTTTTCTAATAGTCAAGTTCAGATGTGAGAGTTGGACTATAAACAATGCTGAGCGCCAAAGAACTGATGCTTTTGAACTGTGGTGCTAGAGAAGACTCTTGAGAGCCCCTTGGACTGCAAGGAGATCCAACCAGTTAATCATAAAGGAAATCAGTCCTGGATATTCCTTGGAAGAGCTGATGCTGAAGCTCCAATACTTTGGCCATCTATTCGAAGAACTGACTCATTTGAAAAGACCCCTGATGCTGGCAAAGATTGAAGATAGGAAGAGAAGGGGACGGCAGAGGATGAGATGGTTGGATGGCATCACTGACTCAATGGACATGAGTTTGAGCAAGCTCCGGGAGTTGGTGATGGACAGGGAAGCCTGGTGTGCTGCAGTCCATGGGGTCTCAAAGAGCCTGAGACACGACTGAGTGACTCAACTTACTGAGGCCATTTCCCAGCCATGAGTCTCTGCCGCCACCATCCCTGGCTCTCATCTCATCTCTAGCTCCCTGCCTAACACTATGAGGCACTTCTCAGAGGCCTACAGGAGCCTGACAGATGATGGCCAATAGAAACAGCCAGATAACGTTCCTCCAGTGAATTCTGCTGGACTTCATTCTCTTCTATCACCAGCTGCTCCATACTGAGACTTGTGGGTTGGGGAGGGCTGATGGTTAAACAAAAGGGATTAATAAACCTGGAGTCACAGCTGGTTTTGATGGGGGGGTTCAGGTTCAGTTCGGTCACTCAGTTGTGTCTGACTCTTTGCAACTCCATGAACCGCAGCACGCCAGGCCTCCCTGTCCATCACCAACTGCCAGAGTTCACCCAAACCCATGTACATCAAGTCGGTGATGCCATCCAACCATCTCATCCTCTGTTGTCCCCTTCTCCTCCTGCCCTCAATCTTTCCCAGCATCAGGGTCTTTTCCAATGAGTCAGCTCTTCGCATCAGGTGGCCAAAGTATTGGAGTTTCAGCTTCAACATCAGTCCTACCAATGAACACCCAAGATGGATCCCCCTTAGGGTGGACTGGGTTGGATCTCCTTGCAGCCCAAGGGGCTCTCAAGAGTCTTCTCCAACACCACAGTTCAAAAGCATCAATTCTTCTGCGCTCAGCTTTCTTTATAGTCCAATTCTCACATCCATACCTGTGAGGGTTCAGGGACTGGTCACAAAAAACAAATGAGAAGTCCCACTAAAGAGAGCTATAACAATCCCTCCATCAATCTGGGACCAGACCAGGTGTTTGCAAAGGGAAAGGGAGAGAGTGTGAGGGAGAGTGAGCATGACGTGCTCTGAGCACTGAGCAGAAATGAACTCGGGAGGAAGGAGACTGAACCACCCCCTAGGACACAGTCATGTTACACATACCCTCAGAAATCATAAAGGCAGCTTCAACTACAGCGTAAGTTTTGCTGAAAATCACATGTAGCAGCCAAGCAAACACAGGCTCTCGCAGCACAATGGACTCCTAGAAATTCTGTGTTTTGAAGACCAACTTTTAAAAAATATTTATTTATTATTTTTGGCTTCTCTGGGTCTTCGTGCAGTGCATGGGCTTTCTCTACTTGCAATGAGTGGGGGGCTACTCTCTAGTTGTGGTGCCAGGCTTCTCCATTCACTGGTTTCCCTTACTGCAGAGCAAGGCTTCTAGGGTGCTCAGGCATCAGTAGCTGTGATAGGAAGGCTGTAGAACAATGGCTCAGTAGTTGTGGCCCACAGGATTGGATGTCCCATGGCATATAGGATCTTAGTTCCCTGACCAGGAATCAAACCTGTGTCCTCTACATTGGGAGGCAGATTCTAACAACAAGATCACAAGGGAAGTCCCAAGGCCAATTTTTCAAATACTGAGATGTGACATGAATTTGTTTGTTTCCAGTTACTTTCCTTGCTATGAAATACCTGTCAGTGTGTAAGGCCAAACAGGCAGAGGTAGATATGCATCTCATGCTGGGTTTAATAAAAAGGAGAGTGCAGGAAAGTGCAAAAAAATCCTGTGACTCATTAGCAGCCAGGCATTGACTGACTGAAGGTTACTATAATTGAGAGGGATTCATAAAGGGGCCTATACAAGTACACAGTGAAAACAGACAACCTTGTTACAGGGACAATTTGTGGTTGTCTGAATAGAAGAAATAGGCATATTTAGCACTTTCCAATTCCCCTGCATCTGAGATGACCAGAGGTCACCACTGAACTCAGACCCATGTTTCTCCATAGTTACCTAGAACAGATGAGGTCTTGGCCTTCCTCTTCCTCATGAAAAGCATAATTTTCTACCGATAAATTCAGACAGGGCCAGAAACATTAAGCAGATCCCCCTATGTAAATTAATAATGCAGTGTCCAGTACTACCACCAGGACAACAATCTCACCAGTGAGACAACAGAATATTTTAGAAGGATATTCCAGGTGTCTCAGGTTGTGTCTCTCAGACTCTACTTGGTTTGCTTTCCCAAGACATCAGGCAAGATCTCCCTGACCTTGTAGATTCTCACCACAGTATCCTCTTTCAAGTCTGCCTAAAAAGTTAAACATTCATCTTCCCCACAGAGTCTGGGGAATAGCTCACCTGCATTCTAGCAGAATACTGTAATACTCAGGCTTTTCTCATCATATGCTGGCTGCTTTAGCAGAATGATGAATGGAATCTACAAAACCTCAAACCAAAATGAACCTTGGCTGCTCCCCTCAATCTCCAGCCATTCATGGGGTGGGAAATGCCAGGGCCCTGCCTGGCTTCATGGAAACATTACAAGCAAGGTGATGGGAGAGGTCTTTGTGTCCTGTGGTCCAGATGACTGCTTCGCTAAGACAGCCATCTTAGCGGAGACAGACACCGAGAGTGACAGCAATGACACCAGGGAAACAACAGGTGGTTCAAGCTGTCAGCATCTCTGGAAAGCCACAGAAATTCAAGGGACAGTTTTGGGTATGAAAATGGGAATATTGTGGGCAAGAAGAGACATCTCATTGAAATCAGGAAAAAAGACATTCATCTCTGTGCACCTTCACACATACAAGGGAGTGAGTGTTTCACACCGGCCTTGGGTCCATGATCTAACTTGGGGGCCTGACCCATAGGCTTCACCTGGATGAAGAGGAGAGCTAGGCTCTCAGACCCACCTGATGACTGCTTAAAACTCTACCACAGTCTGATTCAAATCACTGTCTACAGAGCTTCCACACAGGGATGACAAATCTCAGCACCCCAGAGGCGAGGAGTACGAAGCATACAGAGTCTACCTGGGCATCCAGGTGGAGTTCTAGCACAAGAAAATACTCACTGGTTACATCCCGAGCATAAGAGACATCCACGTCCTCAAGTGAGAAGATGGCAGTGCTCCTATAAGGCCGGAAGGAGTCTGACAGGCTAGGAAGAACCGAGTAAGTCAGATAATAGTCATTCAGAGAGTCCTGAGGCACACCATTCTCTCTCATCTGTGGCAACTGTCTGCCCAACCTGGTGGGGGAGGGAGAGAAAAAGATTAAGCCAAGACTGGTCAGAAACTGTACAGTCCGATCTGGTTCTGATGGAATGTCTGAATGGTGAAGCACGCCAAGGATCTGATCCATTCGAGACAGAAAAGTCTGGTTTGTGTGTGAGACACAGCGTGGTTTTACAGGGGCAGAAGAGACAAAGAACAGTGGGAACTCTGTGCTCCGGCCAAATAACAAGCTGATGAAGAAAGAGACTGAATTATCTCTAGATGGTACAGTCATGACTCACAGAGACACAGAATAGTGATTTTCACCCTTTTGTTTAAACTGCATTGTCACATGGAGTATCCAAGTGCATACAGTTTGGGGCAGTCTGGTTTCCCAGATACCTCATGCTGTCAAGACCTCTCTTAATATTTTGGCATGATACAATATTATTGTCTATTTACATTTCTTGTTATGACATACATGCCAGTGTTCTAACACCAAACAGGCAGAAAGCAGATATGCTTCTCACTCTATAAACCACGTCGGAGATAACAAGTGAGTGCAAAAAAATCACTCTTAGTTCACCTGGGTCAACTGACTTGGGGTATAAACTTGAAAAGTTAATAAGAAATGGGAAACAATATAAGTACCACAGTGAAAGCAGAAAACATTACAAAAAAGGATAATTAGTGGCTGGCAAGACTGATGAGACAATGTATTCAGCACTTTCTGTTTTTCCCTCGATCAGAGGGCTGCAGATGTCATCACTGTACAACAGCTCACAGATATTCAAAATGACCTCAGGGCAAGAGCCTTTGGTCCTTTTAGGTCATCGTGATCGTTCTGGTTTTCTGCAAATAAATTAACAGGAGAGTTATATCAGGCAAATTCCCTTCACAAATGCCCAATCCTATGTCTATCTTCACAATGTGGTAACGGGGTACTGTGAGGAAAACAGTCCAGGAGGCCATAGACAGAGCCTCATAAGGAGGTGTTGGATTTCCTTCTTCAGCCATTGGACAAATTTCCTTGATATGATATGTCATTGGCAGAGTATCCTGGTCCTGAGTCTGTGAAAACAGCTAAATATATCCTTTTCCCCACAGATCCTGGGGAACAGCCTAGCTATCTCCTAGAGGGTTGCTATAATACTCAGGCTTTTTCCATCTGAAATGCTGTTTGTTAATGGCATAAGTGATTACACATTGAGATTAGATGAGAGTGGAATCTACACACCACATCAAGGCAAATGAATCTTTAAAGCTACAAACGGTGGCCATTCATCAGACTGGGAAGTTCCAGGGCCCTGCCTTACCTCAGAGAAACATACCAAAGGTGACCGTGTGGCTTACATTTGGGTTTCAGAAGACTTCGAACAAGGTAAGTCAAATGAAGGGAGAGAGTCCATGGTTTGTTAGAAGTGAACCAAAGTAGTGACATCTCCAAAGAGATGTAAACAAGACTGCCAACAGTCTTGGGCAGGTGTAGGAACTCAAGGACATTGCTCAGGAATGAAAATTAGAGCACTTCACGTGAGATAGGAGACTCGTTCAAAATGAGGAAGCTTGAAAGTTACCTCAGCTGTTGAGGTACCCGTGAATCTGGCAGAACCACCTTGGGTAGAGTGGTCAACCACGGGGACAAACATGACTAGGAACTGAGAAAAGTTCACTCATAGAATGTCTTATTTAAAATGCAATTAGAGAGTCTGGTTCAAAGCAGGCTTCAGTTTGTAAGCATAGGGTCTATCTATCTAAGGGGATTAATTCTCTTAGAGTAGGCTACCAAAGATATCGCAGACTACCTGGGAGATCAATTAGCATTTCATCCTCTTTAGCATGGGAGCAACCGCAGGCTCCATCCAGAGCAAACCCCACTTTCTCTTCATCATATGCAGATTTTCCATTCCTGTAAGGCTGGTTGCAGGTAGAATCTTCCTGGACAACTGAAGGTTCTGAAACACATTCATCTTGGGATTGCTGAAGTACCTCATTCTTTGCGACATCATGCAGGTTCACGCTGTGTCAGGTGGAAAAGGGATGACAAACGATTAAGAGGATTCGACTCCAAGCTATCCTGGTTGCTTTTGATGACAGACATGAGGACTGGTTACAGAAGGCAAAAGTGCAGTCCCCTTAAAGAGGGAAGTCACTCCTCCTGTATGTGAAATGGGGTGACAAGGGGTGGGAGAGACAGTAGGTTGCTGGGCACTGGCAACACAACCAGCAGTTGAAGGAGACTGAAATTTCCCTGCATGCTAATCATGACTCCCAGCACGCAAGAAGACTAGGATATTGGTTCTCATTTTTCTGCACACATTGTGTTGATTTGGATAGGCAGGATCCAAGTGAATACAGCTTTTGAGGAATTACAGACTAGATATTCTGCCTTCAGGAACTATTTTCTTAGTATTTTGATATAATACAATTTTTTTCTAGTTTCCTTACTTGGAAACAAATATTGGCCAACATGTTGCAGCCAAACAGGCACAAGGTTGATATGAATCTCACGCTACTTTTAACGACTCAGGAGAAAATACTTGATTACAGGAACTCCTCAGTTTGGCTCTTCCACCTGGATCAACTCACTGTACATTAAGAAACTGAACGCACTCAGCCTGTGAAATGAAAACAGACAATACTGTTAAAGAGATATTTGCTGTTAACTAAACAGATGCGAGATTTACTTTTGGCACTTCCTGTTTTCCCTTGCCCTTGAGGTCTCGGGCAGTCACCACTGACATTCATGGCCCACTGATCTTCAGAATTACCTGGGAAATGTTAAATCTTGTCCATTTACTTGCCCGCGATCATTTTGATTGTCTAGCAAGAAATTCAAAGATAACAGGTCATAATAAGCAAATCACACCTCACACATACCTACTCAGGAAACACATTTACCACGGGGACACTAATCTTCTCAGTGCAGGAACATAATACTTTAGCAAAGATATTCTAGGACTCTTAAGTCTTATAAGAATTAGACTGGACTACTTCTAGACCCATAGGGGAAATTCTCTCCTTGATCTCATAGAGCTCTTGCCCAATATCCTTTGTTCTGCATCTGTATAAACAGTTAATAGTGTATTTTCCCCAGAGATCCTAGAAAATGCGCTGAGTTATTTTCTAGAATTATTTCCACAATATTGGTTTGTCCCATCAGATTTTGTGATTGTTGACGGTTTAGAGGAATTCATACTTGAGACTAGAGTGATGGGTGAATTGTGAAAAGTAAAAGTGTGAAAGTGTTAGTCACTCAGTCACACCTGACTCTTTGCAAGCCCATTGACTGTGGCCGATCAGGCTTCCCTGACCATGGAATTCTCCACACAAGAATATTTGAGTGAGTGCCATTTCCTTCTCCAGGGGATCTTCTACACTCAGTGTTCAAACCCAGGTTTTCTGCATTGCAGGCAGATTCTTTACTGTTTAAACCACCAGGAAAGCCCAGTGAATTGTATTAACCCTCAAATCAAAAAGAATCTTTGGTGATACACAGAAACCACGGCCAGTTGAGGCTTGAGGAAGTGCCAGAGTCCAGCCTTGCTTCATGGAAACATCCAAGGAAGGCAATGGTACAGTTGTGTCTGTCTTGGTTGTTGAGTGACTGCTTAGTGAAGACTAGCCAACCTAGAGAAAAGAGAGACTGGGGATGAGAGGAGTGAAACCAAACAGGGATATCACCTCATCTAATAAAGAGGCAAATCTGCCATCATTTCTGGAGAGGCCAGGGACATTTACAAAATAAAAAAAAAAATTAGATCATTGAAGATAACAAACACATTGGATCCAAACTAGGTGTGACACCTCCTTTGGATTTCCAGCTGAGGTAGGTGAGAGTTGTCACATAGATTTGGGTCAAATGTTTGACACTGGGGCCAGGGTAACAGAGGCAAGACCAGGGCCAAGAAAATGATGAAGGCTTGCTGACCGACCTGATGTCTGTGTTCCATAATAGATCCTTTCTCCTGGTTTCAACTAAGATGTGTCTATACTACCTGTCCTCACGGATGACCTTCCTCAGTCTATACAGATTGTGGGGACAACAAACACAGAAGCTACCTGGGAGATTGGTTGGAATTTCATCCTCTTTAGCTTGGGAGCAACCACAAGCTCCACCCAGACCAAGGCCCACTTCTGGTTCATCAAATGCAAATTTGTCATCACTGTAAGGCTGGTGACAGAACTTTCTTGGAGAATTGAAGGCATCAAAACACGTTCATCCTTGGATTCCTCAGGCAATTCCTTCTTTTCAACCTCCTGCATTTCCATGCTGTGACATGGAAAGGGATTACAGAAAATTAAATGAAGGGGATCTGACTCCAAGCCATTCTGGCTGGTTTTGATGGGACACATGAGAGTGGTCACAGAAAGAAAAAGTGCAGTCCCCTTAAAGAGAGAAGAAACTATCCTCCCGTATTTGAAACTGACTGGGGCTGTCTGGGAGTGGGAGGGAGACTACAGCAGGTGCTCCATATACTGGCCACAAAGCTCTGATGAGGAAGGAGACTCAACCATTCCAGGATGGTCCTTTCAGGAACAGGAAGCACAGACGAACTTCCACACCAAGTGCATCCCCCCGGTCCTAAGTCATGTTGAATTTAAGATGAAGTAGTCAGGTGAACAAGGGCTTCCCTGTTGGCTCAGTGGTAAAGAATCCACCTGCCAATGCAGCAGACATAGATTCAATCCCTGGGTCGGGAAGATCCCCTGGAGGAGGAAATAGCAACCCAATTCCATAATATTGATGGGAAAATCTCATGGACAGAGGAGCCTGGTGGGCTACAGCCCATTGCTTTGCAAACAGTAGTCACAACTGAGCAATTGAGCACGCAGAGTCAAGTAAACATATCTATTAAAGCATTAGAGACTCCCAGAAATACTATGCTTCCTTTTTAGGAATTGAAAGGTTTCCAAGGCCTCTTTCTATTGTCATGTGACAACCAATTTTTTTCTAGACAGTTGTCCTCATGTTTAATTTTTCTAGTTACTTCTGTACTAATTGCTGATTATCTTCCTCCCACGGATCTTAAACAACTGTGTAGGAATAGATATTTCTCACACTTTGGACCTCCTTTAGGAGAGAACAGATATTCTCTATGTGTACAGGAAATCCTAAGAGTGGTGCATTTACCCTGGCTCTTACATACAAGTAGCACAGAGACAACAGACGACCAAATTACAGGGCCAATCATATCTGGGTTGAAGTAAATTAATACCATCTGCAGTTGTGCTTAGGCTTACAGCTGGCATCTCTGATTCTTCTGACCTCATTTACTGTTCTTTCTGTGACCCTGTCCATATTTTCCCTACCCATTTTCCTACCCAGTTCCTGAGAGTTCATTGTTACCTGACATGAGTGTTTCTTGTCCTTGTTCATCCTCCTCATTTTCATAAATTTATGCAGACAAATTTAGAAATATCCATTGAGATTCTTGCCACATCACCTATTACAAACACAGGGACTCATATGGTCACAGAGTCATAAATATCTATGTATGACTTAGTGCTGTATGGAAGTTCTAATTTGTTAGAACTTTGTTTTTAAGCAACTGTCCTAGCAGGGATTTCTGATCCATCAGGCAGTCTGTTTCTAAACTGGTAGATCCTCCTCAGGGCACCTTCTGCCTGAAATTGGGCAAACATTTAAATTGTCTTTTCTTCCTTATATCACCTCACATTGTCCACCTTCCATCTCCACTTCTACAACTGTATCATCCATCCTGCCACAGATTCTCCCAAAGACACAGGCTCTAAAAACTTCCTCAGGTCTCACAGGATGCCCTCCTTTCTCTAAGGAGAACAACCAAGTCCCACATCCCTCCATCTGGAAACATCCAGGCTCTTCAAGGTAGCTTTTGTATGTTATCAGGCAAAGTCTCTCTATGGAAAGTGCTTCATGCTAATCCACTTTCCCAAAACCAAGTTCAACTCTGTCAAGTACCTTACCCAACACCACAAAATGAAAGGCATTCTTTATTCTGCAGTGCATTTGTACATATTCCAAAATTTCATCACTATAGCTATCATCAACAGATTATTTGATCCATTTTACAGATGAAAAAACAGTTATTGACATAAGAAAAACCAATCACTCACACACAGTTATAAGCACAGCACTCAGCCTGGAACCTGGGAACTTCCATGTTTAGTCCAGGGCTTTTTTCACTCTAATTAGCTTCCTCCTGTCATCTCGTCTTATCTCTGCTTTAACGCTATCTGGATGCTGCCTCTTGCCCCAGTGGCCATTTCCCATCAGGGAGGAAGCAGACAGTTCAAATACTATTACCTCCACTCTGTGCATTTCTCCTCTGTCCTCCCACTTAGCCAGTCCTGCTCCTATCATATCCCCAAATGGGACATGAAACAGGAAAGCTGATTAAAAAAAAAATTCCTAGTGGAGTTGTGTTCATCTTATGAAATGGGGACCAAGGAGAGGATCAGTGCTCTCAGGGTCTGCGGCCCCCTCACCTGGGCTGAGCTTGCAGGCAAGGCGCTCTGCCAGCCAGTGTCCCTCAAACAGGCTCTCTCGGAAGCCCTGCCCCTGGTGGCTATCCAGGTCGTTGTGGGTGAGGAGGTCCTCGAGGTGCTGACTGAGCAGGACAGGGCCATCTTTCCCGTCCCGTAGTGTCTGCTGTAACTGGGGCAGCTCTCTTGCCTGACTTCGAATTAGGGTGTCACACATCCTAGGTGAGACAGAACAGACAGTTGTTAAAGTCAAAGAGGTAGATGAGAGACTTTTAGGGATTTCTGTCACAACATCCCCAAGAAGCCCTTGAAACAGAATTCTGGCACATATTGGATGATCAAACTATGTCATAGAGAAAGAAGAAACAACAAATATGCACTCTGTATCCGAAAGTGCTCCTGAAGATTCCCTGACATCCCATTCATCTTGTTCTTCTGTAGTCAAAACCTAATGTCTTCCTAAACCTGTGTTGTGAAGTTGTCCCTTCAGTTCCTTGCTCAGACGAAGCCATTTCCATTTAAAAATACACACACAGCATCACACATTGAGTG